CAAAATAAGCCCGTAAGCTGCAGCTCAATGACTCTCAAATGTCATGCTATAATTTTTCCAGCCATAAAAATGTGAATGGATTTGTATTTCTTTTTAATGTTCAGGCAGTTTATCACTGATAATTATTAGAGGCAATAATGTAACTGTACATAGGAACTGTTAAGTTAACTCATCACGATGCCCTTTAAAATGCAAATGTCTGTGTTAAAAATGTAGAGAGATTCATTGTGGCTTTATTTTCATTCTCAACCACGTTGTAAAAAGAAGGGTAAAGAGAGCGAATGGCTCACTTTAGCTAGTGAAAGACTAGTTATGCAGTATGAAGAAATGAAGAATGTTTACCTCATAAAATAAGAAGATTTACACACACCATTTATACACATTAAAATTTCTGACCAACATTTCAAGAGAATGATATGCTGTGAATTATATGAGAGATTGTACTTTACTCTGAAGTAATCTCTCTATATCTCTCTTTATGTGTGTGTGTTTGGTATCTGTGATCATGGGTATGTGGTTTTAACTTGTTTTGTGGGTCTGTGTCACTTCTGGTTCCCCAGGCCTCCACACAAAATGGTCATAAAATGTCTTTTTTTTCAGGGCAACTGTGTTAAAAGGAACACCTGTAACTCGAATCAGTGTTCTGGGCCGGGATGCCAAATTACAAACTGCCAAAGCATTTGAGATGCCTTTGACTTTCCAAAATAAGCCCGTAAGCTGCAGCTCAATGACTCTCAAATGTCATGCTATAATTTTTCCAGCCATAAAAATGTGAATGGATTTGTATTTCTTTTTAATGTTCAGGCAGTTTATCACTGATAATTATTAGAGGCAATAATGTAACTGTACATAGGAACTGTTAACTAATCACAATGCCCTTTAAAATGCAAATGTCTGTGTTATAAATATAGAGATTCATTTTGGCTTTATTTTCATTCTTAACCACATTGTAAAAAGAAGGTTAAAGAGAGCGAACGGATCACTTTAGCTAGTGAAAGACTAGTTATGCAGTATGAAGAAATGGAGAATATTTATCTTATAAAACAAGAAGATTTACACACACCATTTATACACATTAAAAATTCTGACCAACATTTCAAGAGAATGATATGTTGTGAATTATATGAGATATTTTTACTTTACTCTGAAGTAATCTCACTATC